CTGGAGAACCAGCCTGTGTTACCACCGAGAGCTGAATCATGGTGTTGCAGACACAAGGGATTTAGCAACCCCAAGGGCTATTAATAGAGCTGTGCTGCTCCCCGTGGGCCCCACACTGTGCTGCAGGAGCAAAGCAAACTCTAAGGGAGGCAAAGGGCTGAGTTTACCTAAGGAGGGGTCGGGAAATAACCTGTGGGAGAGCAAGAACCAGAGCAGTGCCCTCTCCACACTTATCGCTTCCAGGCTCCAACGAGCCAAAGGGGAACAATGAACAATGGAGCCAGCGACGTGGCGCCAACGACGTGCCACCTCTGATCCTTCCCCAGTTCCAAGGAAGTGCCACCCCTGCTCCCTTCCCAGCCTCAGGGAAGTGCCACTTTTGCTCCCTTCCCAGTCTCAGGGAAGTGCCACCTCTGCTCCGTTCCCAGCCGTGCGGAACCCCAAGGGCTCCTGCTCTCCAGACACTGTGAATGGATTGCCATGGGATGGCCCGTTGTGGCTGCTGTTCTTCCAGCCTAGAGTTTGAGTTCACCCTCTGGGTATGAGAGTCAGAAGCAGTGAGGTCCCTGCATAAACCTGGCTTGGGGATTGAGCAGGACACCGCAACTGTGGCTGTAGTCCCAGAAAGAGGTGTTGGAGGTGGAGCACTTCTGTTGGGAAGGGACAATACAGAGAGCAGTTCTATGAGGAGATGGTTTGGACTGCTCATCCCACTCCATCCCAATCCCTGGCTCTGGGAGGACAGAACCAGTGGCACCCTTGAGACCCAATCCCTGCCCATGCTGAGCACCCCCAGACCAAAATCTGTCTGTCTGTCCCCAGATCCCCTCAGGTTGGTCCCCATCACCTGCCTCAAACCAGCAGGCAACAAGGGCATCACGTGGGCTCTGGGAGCTGGTTGGGTCTGGGCATAGGGACACACTGGCACACTCGCATCCCCTCAGGCAATGCCAAGGGCACAGTGAACACAGACCCAGGGTACCAGGATGGATTGCATCATCCCTGTAAACCTGGATGTCCTCAAGGGTGGCCTGAGGTGATTCCAGAAGGCCTCAGCAGCCTTACTCAGCAGCTGCAGACAAACAGTCCCAGATGTGGCTCCACCACTGCTGGCAGGGCCCTGTGGCAGGGGCTGGTGCCCTGTGACAGGGATCATATCCAATCCATGCTGGAGAGGAACCTGCTCTAAAGGGAAAGCATCTCTGCCAGGCTGCAGCACCAGATGGGATGGAGTGACTGGTCTCCAGTCAGCCCTGCCAGACTCCCTGGCCGCACACAGTGCCAGGCGCCAATGAGTCCAAGGCACACACCAGCTCACCAGGCCTTGTCCTGCTCCACATCCTGACAGTGCTGCTGGAACATCTCCAAGCAGATCTGTCCTTCCCATGCCCCTGCTCCGGCCTCACAGCATCTCCCTCCTGAGGACAATGTCCTCTCCTGCCTCCTCCCTGCTGCAGCTGTCTCTTCTGCTGTCCTGCAGCTGTATCCCTATGGCACAGCCAGGGAAGAGCCTGGCCATGGAGCAAGGCTTGCCGGGAGGCCATCAGTGGTCCAAGCCTGGGACTGTGGCTACCAGTGGTCCAGGATGGGCTGAGAACAGTGAGTTTGGAAAATTCACCTTCCAGCACAAGGACTTGTCTTTCACCATCCTTGTTTTGCTCAAAGGGTGAAAAAACTGGGAGAAATGCCATGATTACTTCTATGGGTTGGAGACCAGTGGGACCTCCATAATCCTTCCTCAAAAGCTTTTAAACATGGAAAACACAACACACATCCTTAACATTGCCTCTGCCCTGCAGTGAGGACTGCTGCAAGCCTTCCTCCCTCCTAACCTATGGTGATCATTCCTTGAGGATGGCAAGAGAACAGAGAATCAGGGAATATCCTGAGTTGGAAGGGACCTAAAAGGAGAATTTCCTATTGTTTTGGACAATAAATTGTTTTGCTTTCTAGGACAAGAACCTCATCCTTTTTTTTGGTGTGTGTGTGTGTATCATCATTTTATCATCTGCTCAACCACTGCTATTTAAACACTCTCTGAAAGCCTCCTGAAGCACATGTAAGTGTTCATCTGTGGAGCAGCCCTGAAATAAAGTCTCATCTAAAGAAGACTTTGGTCTGAGGTCATAAATAGTCGATCCATATCTGCCAAGGGAATCTGTCAATCCTTCAGCTCAGTGTGTTCCCCACAAGCATTACTGAAGGAGTCACTGCTGAGGTTTATTCAGACAAACACATCTTTTATGGTTAGCTGGTTGAAAAAGTTGCTGATAGCATCAGTGTTGGTTGTGATCTGCCTCAGCTCAGCACTGCTGACACAGGGAGGGATGAGTGACACACCCCAAAGCCAGAGCTCTCGCTCCTCTGACTTGCTTCTCACTCAAGGCCAGTGGGGGATGACTTCCCACTGTCACAGGGCAGGGTTCGATGGGATATTGGGAAGAAGGTCTTCCCTGTGAGGGTGGTGAGGCACTGGCACAGGTTGCCCAGAGAAGCTGTGGCTGCTCCATCCCTTGGAGTGTTCCAGGCCAGGTTGGGTGGGGCTTGGAGCAATCCTTGCTATCAGAAGAAAACACACTCAAAGCCACCTGAGGTGTCCCAGGACCCTGACTCTGATGGGAGACCTGGCTCCTACCCAGCTGGATGCTGGGAGCAGTGGGACATGGAAAAACACGTCCCTTTTCCAAGGCACCACACTGGTACCTGCAAGGTGGGCTTAGCTTGGATCTCCTTGCACCCAGCCTGGGAGACCTGGGCCAGTGGATCCCACTGTTGCTGTGAGGGCTCAAGCAACAGCCAAAACTCCCCAGCCACAGCTCCTGGGAGCAAAGAGCCCCTCAGTCAGCAGCATTTCCACAGGATCCCACTGGGAAGCCGTTTCTGTCCCCCAGCACCCTAGTGGCAGCACTCCAGCACCAATCCAGCAGCACTGGGAGAGGCAGCAGTGTGTGAAGCCACAACGGAGATGTGGCACTGACCCCTAGTGACAAGCTCCTGCCCCGATCCAGCACTGGAAAAGGACGCTGGGACAAGAGCAGGGATGTGGGAATGCTTCTTGTCTTGCACAAGGAAGGGATCCTGTTGCTGCAGTGCACCCACCCCAGCCCCCCAGTCCAGGAAAGCAACCCCTGCTCTCACCATCCAGCACCCAACACAGATGCAGACTGAGCCTACTTGAGATGGAATTTATTTAGGACACCAATGACAAACCCAAATGTCACACTTCATACTGCCAGAGGGCAGGGATAGATGGGATATTGGGAAGGAATTCTTGGCTGTTAGGGTGGTGAGGCACTGGCACAGGTTGCCCAGAGAAGTTGTGGCGGGAGTGTTCCAGGCCAGGTTGGATGGGGCTTGGAGCATCTGGTCTAGTAGTAGGTGTCCCTGCCCATGGCAGGCAGTTGGAATGAGATGGTCTTCAGGATCCCTCCCAACTCACACCAGTCTGGAATTCTATGATTAGGGACAGGACAGGAAATGACCAATGTACAGCTTGTGGAATCCAGCACTGAAACGACCTTATACAGCAGAGGAACGACGGGAACTCATGGAGGATCTATTTGCACCCTGACCTATCCCTTCCCTTGGGAACGCTGAGCTCCATGGCAGGCTCTGATCTGCATCCTGCAGTTTAGTACTTAAAATACATACATTTTGGCTCCAAGCCTGTCATTCAGTCCAAAAAGGTCTGTTTCAATTAAGGGCTTCAAAAGAGAGCCCAAGACTAATGACCTATTCCTGGACATTCCAAAATACTCCCAACCACGTGGGCTGATTGCAGGATGGGAAATACACATTTCACTACGCTCTTAGTAGTTCCTAACCATCGATTTTCCCCTTCCCAGTAACTTCAGAGTCACAAGGAGAGGAATCTGACCCTCCTGGTACATCTCAGGGGTGCTGTGGAAGGGAGATGGTTTCAATAAACACTGGAAGTTGGGAGGTTGGAAGATCATGGAATTCTAGAATGGTTTGGGTTGCAAGGGACCTTAAAGACCACCTAGCTCCAACCCCTCTGCCATTTGTTGTCCTCAGGAGATAAGCAGAGGCTGGAAAGCCTCTTCCCCAGGTTTAGCATCTCCCTATTTAGTTATGGATGTGAGGCAGCTCCATCCCACCTCAGAAAGGTCCAGCTTTGCCCTTCATCTTCCTCCCCTCATTTCCACAGCACTGGCTTCCTGCAGACCTCCCTCCCTGCACCATTCCCAGCTCAGGAGGCACCAACTTCGCTGCTGTCACTGAGAGCAAGGACAAATTGAAGCTGCAAATAGCCCCTTGGGCTGGCACCCAAGAAAATGCCAGCAGTGAGGAAAGCCATCTCCCAACCTGCCTGCCCTCAGGATTTGCTGGCACAGCTCTGACTCAGCTATTCATGGCTCTTATGTGACCTGAGCTCTGCCCTGGATAACAAATCTGCTTTAACCACATCCTTCTCTTCCCCCTGAGGATGATCACACTCACCAACTGGGGTCACAAGTTAGGTGTAAATGTGAGTGGGTGCTGGGTGAAGCAGCCCTGGAGTGGGTGACCCTCCTGGCTCCACGTGGCTCCAGTGCAGATGGAATCACAAGGCTTACTGACACACTTGGGAGAGCTCCTACTGCAACTGGAGAGGGGAGAAATGGACTTCTTATCTTGGAATCACTCCCTGCTTCCTGCTTGGGGGCAGCTGAAGGTTCTATTTGAGATTTAGGGAAACTACAGAGCAGGGCTGTGCTGATTTGACTGTTCCAGCATGGTCTGTGGTATGGTGAGCTCCCAACAGCATCCAGCGAACAATGTGCAGGGCGTATGGACATTTGTAGGGTATATGGACATGTTTCCAGCATCAGAAACCAGAGCCATCTCAGAAGGACCAGCACATTGCCCAGGGAGCTGGTTTGTCCCTTCACTATTCATTTACAGCTAGAACCACATCCCTCCCTGCTGGAAAGGCTCATGGAGGGCTGGAAAAGTGAGAGGCTTTTCTGGGCATTCCCACACCTTATCCTGCCCAGCTCTCAGAGCTCACTGTGCCTCTTGCCCTGCTTGTCCCTCGCTGCCAGCCTCGGGGCTGTCCCTCGCAGGTCCCTCCCAGGGATCCCAACTTTCTCTGCTGCGGTGTCCTGGGATGGCTCTTCCTGGGTGGCAGTGTCCCTTTCTGGGATTTCAGCCAGGGGCTGTGCTGGTGTGTTCCCAGGAGGATGAGCATTGTGGAGTGGGAGCTCAGGCATAGCAGTGTCCATCATCTGCAGGAAGTCATAAGCAGGGAGTGGTGGTTTCCAGTCTTCCTCGGACAAGGTACCTGAGAAGCAAATCCAGTGCCATGTTAGCAAATGAACTCTATGGATATTTCCCTTTCAAGGATATTATGGGGATTTTTTGCCCTTCCGTTGACCACAAAATTAAAGATCTCCCAAACTATCCCCACCCAAATGAAACCAGCCAGGGGTGCATCAACATTTCCCAGAGCTGGCCAAAGCTGTCCTTGAGCCATGGCCTTGGCCCTTGGGATGCAGTGAGATGCTCAGACATCAGCTGGACCTGAAAACTGAGGTTCCAACCTAGAGACCTACATGACAGCCTGGTGCCTTACGCAGTGGCAATGGAAAAACTAGTGGGAGGATGGTTGGCTCATGGGGTTCTCCAGTCAGAACTGGGTCAGAAATGGGTGTCTTCAGCTCTGGTAAACACCTACACATCCTCCTCCAGCAGGCTGGTGCCACTGTTTGGAACACACTTGCTCTGAAAGACTCAAAATACTCAAAGATCCAGTGGAGCCTGGAGCAGGCTGGGAGCCAGCAGTTCCCAAGATCCTGTAGCATTTCATGGCTACACAGAGCACACAGAACCCCAGGATGGTATGGGTTGAAAGGAATGATAGAGACCATCTAGTTCCAACCCCCTGCCATGGGCAGGAACAACTACCATTACCTCAGGTTGCTCCAAGCCCCATCCAACCTGGCCTGGAACATATCCAGGGATGGAGCAGCCACAGCTTCTCTGGGCAACCTGTGCCAGTGCCTCGCCACCCTCACAGCCAAGAATTCCTCCCCCCTATCCCATCTACCCCTGCCCTCTGGCAGTGGGAAGCCATTCCGTCCTGTTCTGTCCCTCCACGCCTTTATCCCAAGTGCCTCTCAGCTCTTTTGGAGCCCCTTTAGGCACTGGAAGGGGCTCTAAGGTGTCCCTGGAGCCTTCTCTGTCCTGATACTCCATGCCCATGTATATAGTCCTTCTCCATGTTTCCTGAAGAAGGCATATCCATGCTGCCTTCCTCCAAAGCCTCATCAGGCTGATCAAGGCAGGAGGGATGCAGTGAAAAGCTTCACACTACATATCATCCCTTTATCTTCCTAAGACCACAGCAAAGCCCCAACTTCCTTATCCTTTCCCATCCGAAAAAAAAAGCTGGAAGGTGCCTAAAGAGCACCTACAACTGGGAGTCAGGAGATTTTTCTTAGCAAGCTGTGTTTCAGGGCTGTTTGCTCAGGAGAGCTCAGCCAGGTTTGGGGATTATCACAGGGAAGAGATGTCGATTCCCAGCTATTCACATTTGGCTCCAAACATTAAACATTCCTAAAGCAAACGTGTGAGCATGGATATTCTCTCCTGGCTGCACTATTTGTACTTGTCCAGCTCTAACCAGCACAGCTACTTTTTCCATCATTAAATTCCAGGGCAGACAATTCATTGCATGTAGTATCTGCTCATAAACAGAGCAGAGCTCACAGTGTGTGCCTGGGAATGTCCTAAACCTGTGTCCACTTACTGCTGGGAGTCTCCAGTCCTGCTCTGAGCTTCTCCAGCCAAGACAGGATGTTCACTTCAGTGATGGACTGTTCTGATGGGAACTTGAATACCTGACCTCCAGCATGAAGGTTCACCCAGAGGAGAACAGGCAGTGAAGGCATTGTGGCAAAGTATGTCCTCAGGATCCCGTGTCCCACTGGAGTCTTTTTCCTATTGGGAAGAGGAGATTCAGGTTTGACAGCACAAAGACTGAGAGCCAAACAAGCACTAATGCCCTTGGGCCACATCCACAAAGAACAGTTTTGCCTGTGGGAGTGTAGAAGGACCATCCCTGGAAGTGTTCCAGGCCAGGTTGGATGGGGCTTGGAGCAACCTGGGCTAGTGGAAGGTGTCCCTGCCCCATGGCAGGGGGTGGGATGAAATGATGCTTAAGGTCCTTTCCAACCCAAACCACTCTGGGATTCCACAGTTCTGCCCTTTGCTGTGGCACTGCCCTTCTGCTGTGGCACAGGACAGTTCTGTGTTTGCCAGGACAACAAAGGCCCATGTGTAGGTGGGGAAGTTCCAGGGCCTCATTTATTGTGCATTACTGGCAAACAAATCTTCTCTCTCCAAACATGTGCGTTCCCCTTCAGCTCCATCCAGCCCACGCTGTGCTGCACTTCCCAGACTTCAAAGACTTTTATGATTAAGCCATTGAGGTGTCTCTGAGTTTGGGCAAAACAAAGAGGCTAAAAATTGAAAAATGCCACTAGGGAGGATTAAAGCAAATCCTCAGTCTACAAGTTTGTTTCTTAGCTCTTGGATTCATTTCGTTCCTTGAATATGTTTTAAATTTGCCTTTTATGAGGCTTCTTCTGGCTGAACCTTGTTCTGAAAACTTTCTTTCCCAGTCACTGACCACTCATTCCCTCTAATTGCTGGTGGAAAATCACCAGAAGACATTCCAGGAGGGCAAATTTCTTTTTTTTTCACTCCCACATGCAACAAAAATACAAAGAGCAGAGCCAGGGTCAAGCTACCACATGAGATCATTTACATTTTGCCCCATCAACAGTTATTTCTGCAATCAATTAAGCATTTACTAATTTCCCTTTGTCAGGCAATTCTGCAGCTGCCCAGAACACACTGAATCATTGCTAACTGGTTTGACTTCCCAATTCAGGATGATTTCAGACCCAATAATCTCATTACCCACTTGTGTCTTCAGTAACTGCAGCTTCAGTTCTTTTCTTGCCCTGAAAAACTCAGAGTGAGCTAAGGGACAGGCGAAAACAGGTTTTCACACACTCACAGGTTCAACCAGGAAGCCACAAATGTCTTCTGGGCTCTTCCTTTTGCCACCTTCAGCATTTCTTCCTTGTTTTCCATTTGACTGATGTCACCAGCACTGAAGAGGATAAGGAAAGGCTTTCTGAGCTGCAAGTACTGCGGCAGATTCTGCACAGTGATTTCTGGCTGTAAGGGAGCAAAACAACAACCAAGGGCTTACAGTGAGGAGAAAACAGGAGGAAATGAGACTTTCTGCCCTTTCACAGGGGTTAAACAAGGCTGCTTGTTTCCATGCTGAAACAAGCAGCTGGAAAACAAGTGTGGATGCAGGGATTTTGGTGCATGGTGGAGAGGCCTAAGCCAAACACTGCCCATCACGTGCCAAGTGTGTGTGAGCAGCTGTGCTCAGAGCTGAGGGTGTGAGCAGAGGAGGCACAAACAAGGCTCAGCTCATCCCAGCAATATGTGTTATGGCTACACCAGACTCCAAAGGCACATGGAAAAGGCAGGAGCAGATCCTGGGAGAAGCTAAGCCCCAGCTCAGCCCAGCTCCATGTGTTATGGCTACACCAGACTCCAAAGGCACATGGAAAAGGAAGGAAGCAGTCCCCGAGAGAGGCCAAGTCCCCACAGCCGCAGGCTGGTGACAGGTTGGCCAATCCATCAATTCCATGGTCTCCTCCCCTGAGACCACTCAGCAAACAGCAGATTTCTGTCTCAACTCTCTGATCCAAGCCATAAAATTCAAACTCAAACTTGGAGTGATGAATCCATGAGCAGCGACTTGTTCTACAGAGCTCCAGGCTATAACCAAAGCCACTGCAAATGGCCACAGTGGGGAAAAAAAGGACACTTGTATTGTCTTTTACTTACAAAAATGTCCAGTAGCTCATGTCTGATCATCTGCACCAGGTCCTGTGTGCTCTGCTTGGCCAAGGTGATGCCTTCCACGCTCTGAGCTCGGCTCTGGGCAAGGAGGAGGGCTGGGGGGGACACAGAGTATTTCTGGGATCTGGAAAAGTCGGATGGAAACAAGGGTTGCCTGTGTCCAATTGAACACACATCACATCTGCTGCACATAGAGCTGCCATCCTCATGGGGCCAAGTGGGGACAGGGATGTCCATCGATGGAAGTGTTCCAGGCCAGGTTGGATAGGGCTTGGAGCAACCTGGGCTAGTGGAAGGTGTCCCTGACCATGGCAAAGGATGGAACTGAATGGGCTTTAAGGTCCTTCCAACTCAAGCCAGTCTGGAATTCCACGATTCTATTCCTACTTCTCTTTCATTTTCACACCTAATGTTGGGTGGTACCAATTCCCTCCCCTCTGCCTTCCAAGCCAAGGCAAACAGAAGGTCTCAGACTCCATGTGAGGGACACAACCCACACAAAATAAGCTCCAGGAGATCGAATTTTTGGCTTAGTGAGGAAGCCAGAAGTTTTGCTGAATTCCAGCCCCAAGTTAGAGCAACACATACGCTGCTTCCACATACTCCTTGTGGAGAAGCCAACTCATCCTTTGTGTCCTTATCCACCCCAGTGTCCTTCTGGTCAGAGGGTTCCAGGGGGTTTAAAGAAAAGCTGAGAAAGTGAGAAAAGCAAAATTAGGAGAAGTCTGTGCAATGAGAGGGCAGAGAGGACACCAAGAAGGGAGAGCAACTTTCTGGAAGTCTGAGGAACTTCAGCCCTGGAGGCTGCAGATGTCAGTGGCCAGAGAAAGGGTGAGACAGAGGAAACCCGCTGCCTCAGCAGTTTGCTGGGGACATGTTCAGTTTATTCTTCAGAGGCTGCTGGTAAGTTTTCAGAGGTCGTGGCATCAAAATTCGTAGAACTATAGAACGGTTTGGGTTGGAAGGACCTTAAAGATCATCCCCCTGGGCAGGGACACATTCCATTAGCCCAGGTTGCTCCAAGCCCGATCCAACCTGGCCTGGAACACTTCCACAGATGGGGCAGACACAGCTTCGCTGGGAAACCTGTGCCAGTGCCTCAGCACCATCTGATTTAAGTATTTCTTTAGGTCACCACCAACAAATCAAGTGGAGGGAACTGGAGATAACGCATTTCCGTAATGTTCAGCTCTCCTGGGGGCCTTTCCCTTCCTTCATCACATCATTTATCTCTCTGGGAATAATATATCCACAGCAAATTTCCAAGGGACA